TTAGAAGAATTCATTTAACTGTGGAAGTAACAAACACAGGAGACTCTGCAGACCTCCTGTGGTGAGCATTCTTATGTGTCAGTGTCAAGGACACATGAAACAATATTATGCTGCTAGCAGATGGCAGCCTTGCACTAACAGGTGCTTGTTGCACTGTGAATGTGTACAGAGCATCCTCGCAGACTGGTGCAAGCAGCAATGTGCGGCAACCTGGAGGTGTCAGCACTGGGCCAGGCGGTGGGCGATGTGGACACTTGCACCACCATCTGAGTGTAGAAGAACTGAGACTGATCCAGGTAAAGAATGCACTAAGTATTGTCAATGTTGTTAAACAGCATTAAGGAATGTAATATGATGGTGACTTATTATTGTTTTGTCCACCTCTAACACCAGAGGAGACAGGACTCAAATGGCAGCTCTTCAGATGATGGTACTCGCAGTTCAGGGCATGCCAGTATGTCTGACGGACACCTGAGCTCATCCCCATCTGCAGAGAGGCATCAGCACTATCGTTCTCACCTGAACTCTGTGCCTGAGGATGAGAGGTACGGCAGTGTGTCTTTCTTCAAATCATGATTGGGCACAGTGTGAGGTATGAATATATGTGTTTGATGAGGAACATTCAGAGAGAATTACACCGAATGAGTAACATTCCAAAATTGTGTTTGTAGTTAATATTTGTGGAATGCATTTTTCATAGACATGGTGCTAATATTTCAAAGTCAGCCCATAATACTCCATTAAATGGAAATATCGTGTGTTTTGAATGATTAACAGTATAAAACAATGCTGTGAAAAAAAAGAAGCTGATTTGTATGGTGCCTTACCGCTGTTTGTTGTCTAGGGTTCAGCATACTGCATTTCATTTCAAATCTTTATGGAATGAAAATTATGACCTCCTATTGGCCATCAGCTGCAAAAAGTTTTCTTAATCATGGTTTACACATGATACGTGTCTGACCTCCTATTGGCCATCAGCTGCGAAAAGTTTTTTTAATCATGGTTTACACATGATACGTGTTTCTTACAGCCCAACTTCAGGCAGTCAGGAAATCAGTAAAATAATACAATATGTGCACAGTGGTACAGAGTAAGCCTCGTGTTGTCCTTAGGTCGGCAGTCAATGGATACTAGTGACAGTGGCACTCTGAACTTTTCAACTCTTTTGTTGCAGCCTTGGCTGACTGTGAAGTATGTTTTCTACTAGGTGTACATGGTCCCTTTCTGCGTTCAATCCACTCCAGAGACAACATATACAAAGGATATTTTTTATCTTACCATCGAGTGTCATACAAAAGCAGCCTCTTTCTCATAGACTGCTATATATTTCTTTGCTGTCCAGGTTGTCAGCCAGCGTAATGCAGAGTCAGTCGCGAGCCACACGGAAATCTGGCCACAGCAGAAGTCGGCACAGAGCAACTCCTGCTAGGGTGAGTGCTTGTAACTTGCAGTCACTTATCGGAAAATGTACAGAATCCATTGCAATCATTGTGATGTTTCTTGCTGAGTGATTACCGTAAGGACTTAACTAATGCTATGGACAGGTTAATGAAGTGGTAATACATCTTACTTCTGCTTAGGAGGTAGGTACCCAGCTTGAATCTTGACTAGTATATGGACTTTTCTGACTTAAATTGTTTATGTTTGTATCAGTCCCACAAGGAAAATGCTGGCATAGTATCTTCAAACAGATCTTTATGACATTTTCCATAAAGTTCCAGTCAGTTTATTTTCTTCTTTTTCTTTTTCTTTTTCTTTTTCATTTTCATTCTCTTCTTTTTTCTTCATTCTTTCTGCCTCCTGGTGCTACAGCTAATGGTGACCTCAGCGATAGCTCTGCTTTTGTGTCTTCTGTTCCATTTTACGATCTCTCAGCATGATCCAGTCAGCTTGTTTCATTCTGCTCAAAACCAGATAATTGTCCAATTGGTATTTAGAGTGTGTGTGCTGTTATTCGCTGTCATCAGAAAAATAGAACTGAACCGCATTAATAAACTGTGACAGCTGGTGCCATCTGGGTCTGGTTTGGAGGACATCAAGCTGGCAATCCAGCAACTCACAATGCAGTCTCACACGTCCACCTCCACATACTCGAGTCTCAGTGGCAGTGAATCCGGTGAACCGGTGATGCGACGTCTTATGAGGCACTCATCACTGGAAACAATCAACACCAATGTCACCAGCACAGATGAGTTTGTTTGGGTTGATTCACATAATAGGTATGTGACTTATGTTCATTCGTCCTTGAGTGTGTATCAAGAAACTCCATAAAAAACATGAGTTAGAAATTTCTCACATGCAAAATTAAAGACTCATTTTGGTTGCTTTGTGCTATTCTTCAGAAACTTGTAGGAGTGTGGAAAGAGAACACATACTTCTTAATTCCTTCATGGATGTCAAATAACTACATTAGTGTGTCACTCTTTTCTTCAGGCTTGTAGAATTACAGCACTTACCGTGGTCAAACCATGATGTGCTGAAAGTTATACAGAATGGTCGACTCAAAGAACACATGGAAAGGATCTCCATGGAGACAATTCCGCGTCTGTCGTACCTTCTTCAGCGGGCGCTGGTGAGGGTAGGAAGGGAGGTGCAGCGTCTGGCCTGTCCCCTTGGGATGTGTAGTAAGCAGGAGGTGTGTTCTGCCCTGCGCGTCATCCTCTGCCCTGCTCTCGCTGATTCATGCACAAAGGTAAAACCCAAGTGCGACTGATACTTGAGCTTAATTCTTGTAGGACCTGAATGTAAATGGGTGGATAATATTAAAATGGATCAGTAGGTTGTGAATGTGTGAACTGTAAGGCAAAACATTGTATTTGCATGGTTGCCATTGGTGCAGCATATTCAGAAGATCCTTGATTTCAATCTCTGCCCAGAGATTTTCTGCCCCACTGATGTGTCCTTTAGTTTCCTCAGTCCTGGAGAGACTGAAGCAGATGCTCAAAGCAGATCACTCCTACTTCATTCGAGATATTTTCTTGTTTTTTCCCAGGCATCCTATCATTTGACAGTATATAATAATCTGTGCATATGGAAAATATTTTTTAGCTCATTCATAATAATCTATTAATATGGGAAGTATTTTTTAGCCCATTCACATCCATAAATATGTCTTTACACTTTCATTCTCCAGGCTATGGGCACTGTAAAACGTGGATTGCTTGAAGTGGTCCTTGTCACTTAGTCTGTGAATGATATAATGGTACTATTTGATTTAGTACATTGTCTGTAAGTGCTGTGTAGACACAAGTGAGAGGATATTTCAGTACTTCACAGACAAGGCATATTGATAATAGTTCTCGATTTAAGGCAAAAGTGGTTTTTATGGAGGGTACCTGAAGTGTGGAAGAATCAGTCAGCTGGCAGTGGATAGGGTGACCATTGTTATAACAATGGTGGACCTTTGTGTTTCATAAGGGGAATTTGGGAAATTTGTTGGTCAGCTGAATTCCAATCAGTGAGGCATTACTTAGCTTGTTTCACTTTTGGTTTACCCTTTCAGCATTCAGAGAATACAGAATTGTTGAATGACAACCTGGATGTAAAATGATGTTTAGAATTTTCCCTGCAGAGACTGAGGAAACTGAGATGTTCAGGAAAGTGTTGATCAGGATCGTGCATGTGTGCAGGCATGTCTGAGGGCAGCAGCTATGTTTGCAGTGTCAGGCGACCTGCAATTGAAGCAAAGCAAATCATGTCGAGCAGGATTGCAGTTCTCTGTTGGTCGATTCCAGCGGTGGATGACTGATGTCCGCCTCGGCAAGTTCGTTCACGAGTAAGTGTCGCGCGATTGAAAGAGTGACCCTATGGAACGGAGTCCCTGAGAAGCTTACAGTCAGTCAAGAAATACTCTGTCGTTTATGGAAGCCACAGGTTCATCACCATGTTCATAAGAACCTATGACCGGTCTTTCTCCTGAGCCAGATGAATCAAGCCCACACAGTTCCATCATATTTACTAAAAATCATTTTATATTATCCTCATGTTTCTGTATGCCCGGGTCTTCCAAGTGGTCTCTTCTTTTCAGGCTTTCCATCCAAAATATTTTATGAATTTGTTATCTCCTCCACATGCGCTACATGTCCTATCCATCTGATCCTCCTCATTTTTATCATCCTAATAATATTTGGCAAAGAATACTTATTGCAATGCTCTTTATTATTCAGTTTTCTGCAGCTTCCATTTCTTCATCTGTCTTAGATCCAAATATTCTTCTGTGCACCCTGTTCACAGATGCCTCAGTCTGAGCTCTTCCCTTAAGGTAAGAGCTCACCCATACAAAACAGAAAGAATGATAGTTTTGTACATTTCATTTTTTGTTTTTAGATAGCAGACTGGAAGACGAAAGATTCTGAATTGTGTGATAGCAGGGTTTCCCTGAATCTAATCTGCTCTTAATATTTTGTGAATGCAATTCTGGTTTGTTACAGTCATTCCCAAATAACTTGACTTAGCTTCAGTTTTAAAGGATTTTGTCCTGCAGTGTGGTGACAAGGCATCAACATGTACTTATTTTTCTTTGTATTTACATTTAGGCCTATTTCCATACTAGCATCTGATAGAGCTTCTGCAGTTTCATTACGGTGTTTTTGCCCAATAAAATAATGTAATTTGTATAGAGTGCAATCTGATGTGCCACATTAAATTCTAGTTCCTCTTACTTTGTTTTTGGGCAGAAATTAAAAGTTATTGTAAACTTTTACAGTTACATAATCTTAATATCCTTATGCCATGAGTTTTCTGCTATAAGTATTATTTCGATAGACTGACAATTACATAATCTTAATATCTTTATGCCATGAGTTTTCTACTATAAGTATTATTTCGATAGACTGACAACAGTGTGAATAATTTCATCATTGAAAGAACTTTTACATTTCAACTTTTATGTTTTCTGGTCTTAGAAGTGAGCAAATTAGACAAATAAAAGCCTATTTTTGGTTTGTGCGGTTAGGTACGCAGCTGTGTACTTGACAGCTGGATTGGAAAACCTGCTGGAGGAGATAATTCTCCAGTGTCTGCCCAGTGAGGTGGACACCATCCTCACTGCCACCATGTTTGAACATGCAATTGCAAACAATGGGGACTTGTGGGGTCTGCTGCAGCCATATGCCCATCTCAATGCTGGCAGGATTGCCTCAGGTGAGTTTTGTACACCTGATGATTTTTTGTTGTGGGGGCATAGGTGCTACTGTGCTCACTAAGTGTGTTGTGTCATATTTAGAGCTCAGTTCTATATTGTAGGAGCACTGGCAATGCCTCGCTGGGCAAGTGTCTCGAGTGTGAACTCTGAGTCCACCCACTCGTCATCACTAGCAAGTGGAAAATCTATAGAACAATCACTACTGACAACTTGTGTTGGATCTGTGCACGAGCTGACTGAACTGCTGGCATGCATCAACACGCGGCCCCTCGCCTGGACGCCGTCTGCAGTTCAGGCACTCTTCTACTTTATGCGGTGCTCCCAGGTACAGTGTGACATATTTTTGTGATCGTGGTCAGCCCACTCACATTTCTAACTTAAGACTGTGACTGATGTGAATACATAGGAGAGTAAACCTTTTCTCTCTCACAGAACAAATTACAAATTTTGAAACCAGTCTTCAAAAACTATTTCATATACCAGAAATGAACAAGATCATGTTTGAGTGCAACTTAATGGGTGGAGGCAACTGACAGACAGGCGAAACAAGTGTGTCCACAAGTTCACTGGTTACACACCTGGCAAAAGACAAAACGTTGCACCCCATATCAACAAGGTCTTGTCTCCATACAGTATTATCATATTGTATTTTGCATCTGATTTCACTGCTGGTGCAGGGAACTAACAGATATTACCACCAATACTTATACATACTTGACGATGGACCTTCTACACTACCAAATATCACTAAGTCAGAAATGTTCTTATCTGATGATTATTATTCAAATGGGACACAAAGTATGGAAGAGCCTAGCAGATTATTGATTGACTGTTGAACAGTTCCTTACTACTTTTTATGGCACAGCAATGAATCATGATAGGTTATACAAAATATTCTTCGATTCCTTTACTTTTCAAACAGTGACACAGCTACTGACAAAAATGACCGACACCATGACAGACATAAGGAAAACAAATATTTTTAACTCCTTGAATGACCTCTACTCAAAATACAATGCTCCTTCTGAACATTTGGCTGTAAACAAAATTATAATACTTGTCAAAGGTAAAGTAAATTCCAAACAATGCATGCCAAAGAAACACAATTTTGAATTTTAGTTAAACACACCATATGGACCAATTCCTTGTATTTTCTAAATATACTGTTACTTTAAATTTCTAAAATCCTGGCTTCATCCCAACATACTCTGTGACCTTTTTCATAGGTTAGGTTAGGCAAGTTTTGATTTTTCAAGAAGACCCTGGCTATATTTCCAGAGCCACACAGCTTCTGGTCTTCCACATCAGCATTTGTGGATTGAGTCTTTTTTGTTTGGTTTAATGTATTTATTTTTCACTTCCTTTTCTGTCTTAATTTTTAGATCTTTTAATGTATTTCCACACTTTCTTTTGTAATTTTTCTTGTTATCTCATTCTGACTAAACCTGATCTCAGGTGCTTATATAGATGTAATTATACTGACTTTGGCTGTCTGGTGCCTGAGGTTAGCTCTTTCTAAGGGACCCAGCTGAGTAGGTGCCCCTTTCCTTTTCACATGAGAACAGAAACAGACCCAGTTTCCAAAATGTTGCGTTCTTTTGAATACCAGACGATGGACAGAGTCCAAGAATTTAGAAATCCCAAGTACAAAATTTATATTCTGAACTTACTGCTTGACACTAGGCAAGTGTATATTGATTGATGTGATGTAGATAGTGAGTTAAAATAATTGTTTGCTGGACTTACAGTGCAGTAGCGAATGTCATGTATGTACTTCTTCCATGACAGCTTGAGCATGCGGAGCATGTGGCCCCAATCCAAGAACTGGTGTATGAGCGTGCATATGTGGTTTTGCCTCCCCTGGTGGAATGGTTGAGAGTGACCACAGCCCATGCAGAGCATAGACACTCCGCCTCTCTCGATCAGGATGATGTGATGCAGGCGGCCCGGTTGCTCCTGCCTGGAGTGGACTGCCCCATCCGAGACATTGGGTACGTCATTGTGATGTCTACTGTCCATAGACCCTTTGAATTTATTTGTTGATTCAGTTGATGTATCAAAGGACTTTTTATGTAATTTCTTTGACAATTTTTTTTCAAATATAAACGCTGGATGTTGGTATTATTTGAGCTGGCTGTGTGTTGTTTTCTTTTTTGTGCTTTATTTCATAGCATTTAGTTGGAATGTGATAAAATTTTTTGTTGTAATGTGCTGCTCCTGTCCTACCTACCCATCATCTAAGTCCAGTTTGAATTGTATGATTTTTATCAAAATGTTTTATTTTCTTGACTGCAGCCCTACTAGAAAAAAATTAGTTTATTAAAAAAGCCCAGTGAATAACATTAACACACTCAGATTGTATTCTTCACTAACTAATGACGTGCATCATTATTTACAGATAATGAACTGCATGCACAAAACTCACAAAATAACTTTCACCCTTTGTATAGTAATAAGCACGTATCATTATTAATTAGAACAGAACCTCTGGTAATACTGTGTTCACAGTGATAATCTTCACTGTACAACCACTATATTTGAAGTTTGTGACACACTGGAATACTTTTAAACCAACATCATTACAATTGAAGAATGTATAGGCTCTTGAAACTAGCATGTTGTAATTGGATAAAAGTTCAACCCATTTTACTACAGACTAGCAAGTGGAAAACAATTGTAGTAGACAAGAGAGATAAAGTCTGCACATAGAATATCATGAAGAATTGTTAACACGTGTTTTGATTAATATAAATTTCACATGGAGCATGGTGCAGTTTGGAAAATGTTTAAACAGTTACCGATTTGTTTCATAATTATATTTTACGTCATCAAATTATGTTTGAGGTGTTTGTAATTTGAGGGAAATGTGATTTCTTTGCGCTTCCATGGTGGTTACATTATTTTGTGTTTCACAGAATGGAGGACGCTGGGGGATCAATAGGTTCCAGGCGGCTTGGTGATGAGTTGGAGTGTGTACGACGACTCAAGTCAGAGCTGGCATTCAAAATGCTGCGGAGTGGATGCAGTGACCTCATCCCTCATGCTCTACAGCTGTTACCATCGAGTAAGGTAATTCAGTTGTTTTAATGACAGTGTGAGGTAAGAATTAAAGTCATTGTATGGGTGAAATGAGCCATTATTCATGGATTGACATGTCACCTGTTCCCTGAAAGTATGGAAGGTTTGTATTTCATCCAGACAATAACATTACCATAAAATGTCACAATTTGTTATCAATGTGTTTTGTGCATATGGCTCCACAGCACAGTATATGCTGTGCTTTCTTGTATTTACTTAAATGGAGGGACACTTACGATAAATCAATGACCAGAGTTCTGAGACTAACGGAACAGGGTCAGACTGTCTGGATAAACAGTTGCTAGACCAGTGATGTCAGATACCCTGCATTGAAACACTGACATTGAGTGAGAAAAATGTGCCCGAAGATATCAAAGACAAAAAATTAATGAAAGGTGAAGTGACTGCACAGAGATCATTAGGTGGAATGATAAAAATCATGTTATTGTGCTTACCTGAATGGAAAATACTTTATTCGTAGTTTTTCACAGGGTGTGGATTAGACTCATCTGGCCCAGAATAGGGACCAATGTTGTAATCATGGTTGTGTGCCTTTTGGTTCCATAAAAGACAGAATCTTATGTGTAGCTGAACGTAATATTATCCTCTCAAAAATAACCCTGCTCCATGGAGCAAGTTACCTTTCGTTAGGAAGATGCAAGAGGAGAGGGATGAAGTGGAAGTGAATGGGTCACATCAGCTTCTTTTCTGCACTGATGATGTTAATTTACCGGGTAAAAACATAAGTCTTCTTTCTCCATCTTTAGGTCCTTTACATTCTTTACTGCTGAGGGTTTAAAGTTGATCACTTAACCAAAGTTGTTATTACATTTAGGATAATATGGATGGACCACATTGATAACAGGTGAATCTGAAGATAGCATAGTTCTATGAACCTACACGGCAAACCATGCATGGATGACCAAGGACACTGTGGGAAGAATAACATAATACCTTTGCCATTATAATTCTTCTCATTCTTCTTCTTAAGGTGCCTCTCCATTCCGGATGTTGGCGATCAGCATAGTAATTTGAGCCATACGTTCATTTGTTTCTGCCATGCTTGATTGTACTAGGGAATTATAATGGAGTGGTTTCCCATTGCCTTCGCCATCGCAGTATCACAACCAGTACAATCAATATGTGATTGTCACCTGTGAACATCTGGTGACGGGCCTTTAGGGAAGCCCCAGTAATGACGTAGCTGCTGCCCTATGCCATCTACCATGACCCTGGTAGAGGGACCCTTGCAGGTTGCTACCCCTTGGGTCAAGGGGAACCTGGAGTTCGCGTAGGCAGGGGCACTCACTTCCCTGAAGTAGGACTATCACCGAAGAGAGTTCCTACCCGCTACCGGGCCATTATAATGTTGACTGTTAATTCTTTTCAGAAATTGAATTGTGTGAATGAGCGTGGGTTGAGCCCACTCATGTTGGCAGTTCTGCTGCAAGACGAGGCTTGCGTTTGCTGTCTGCTGGATGCTGGAGCAGACCCTGACATTGAGACTCCTCCATATGGCACATCAGGCTGTCCAAATGTGAATGCAGAGACCCAGCATTGGACATCCCTAACTTATGCAGCTGTACAAGGAGCATGTAGTATTGCACGCTTGCTATTGGAAAGGGGAGCCCATGTGGAAGGGGGTACAAGGCTCAGTGAGGACAGGTGCACCCAGACACCACTTCAGGTTTGTTCTCACTTGATGGTTCTGAAACCAAGCCCCATATTTTGCATACATATGGGGATTTTGAAGGTATAGCCTCTGCACTAGGTTGGTTGTGAGTGGTTAGCTGCATGATCTAACCGCTTTGCTCTTAAGGAAGAAGCCGTGGTACATTTTTGGATATGAGACTGGATTTATTCTAGATACTCTGTACATTATCATAATGGAAAAGATGTTGCCATCAGGAAATGATTCTTGGTCATCAATCCTGTGGTCTAGTCACTGTACTGATGAGCTATCGTAGCTCACTATCAGCGAACAATAAGAAGATGAAGTTAATGATAGAATTAGGAGAAGAATATATTCAGGAGATGCTTCTTATTATTCGGTTCACAAACTGTTATTCCATCTACCTTCGAATATACTAAAGATTAGGAATATTAAACAATAATTTTGCCACCTGTTACGTATGAATGTGAAACAGAATGCTCATATTTGACTGAGTGAACAATGAACAGAGTGGGAAATTGTTCCTTGATAAGGAGGAGCATCATGATTCCTGCAGGTGGTTAAAGTTCTTTAAAGGCTGACACTTAGAAGAAGAAGAAGAAGGTGCAAGGATAAAACTAGGATGAATCTTGGGGAAATGGTCTGTGATGTAGATGTGACTATAAACATGATTATTGTTTTCAGCAATGCCCTTCATCTGTGGTTTCTCAAACATAATGTCTTTGGAAACTGGGTCTATTTCTGGCATCGGGTGAAAGGGAATGAGAAGATTCTTGCTCCATTGGACCCCTTGAAATGAATTAGTCTTGATCTCTGGATGGATCTGGCTTAGGATTGTAGCTACTGATGGGTTTTAGCATTAGCAGTGTTTAGGAATTGGGCTTCTACCATTAAAGAGTAGTCAGCTGGTTAATAAGTACATGTTCTAAATAGGAAAATATATGAAATGAGTTATTTTTAACTTTATATTATAGAGTTTATAAATGTCTTTGGAAAACATAACACATTATGTACTTTATGATTGCATACCGATTCTGATTTGATAACTGTCTTTTGCGTCATGATATGGCTACCCTGCATCCATATCTCTTTAAAAAATTTGTGATATTTGGAAAACAAAGTCTGGACAGCAGACCTCTGTAGAAGTTTGTCACTGATCTGTCTTGCTTTTTCTCTGGGACAGGTGGCAGCAGCATGTAGTCAAATGGAGATGGTTTGCCTTCTTCTATCATATGGAGCTCAGCCATTTCTCTCAACACTGCTCAAGGACTCTCTCTGTTATTCTGGTGCTGCTCAGCGTGGCTCGTACAGGCGAGTTACTCATTTCAAGAAATGCCTGAGTTTTAAAAAAAATGTCTTTTGAGTTTAAAATGTCTTGAAATGTAGTGACGGTGTTTACAGTCATCTTTACAGATTGAAAACTTTACTCTAACGGAATAGAAATTTGTGAAATCTTATAGAAGCTAGACTACAATCATTAAATTAATTAAGAGTCATATTAAAAAATGTGAGTATTGTTTCTGGTAAAGCTTCAAATTGCATCTGTAAAAACTTATACTTTGACTAGACAGTTTGATGAAACTAAATTTTGGGAATTCTCAGTAAACCTGAAGTACAAAGATATGTTTAGGATCATGTCACCCATTTGATGTTTCCACTTTTGTTTGAGGGTCATATAATTTATAACCTTACAAGTTGAAGACTGTTCATACTGGCTTAAGCCTTTTTGTGGTTTATGGTTTTTTATTCTGGAAATAGATTTGGTTTAATATAACTTCAAAAAGTGTTGTATATTCCTGCTTATGTTGTTTGTCAGTGAGGCAGTTTATTAAAAGTTGTTTTATTTACTGATTGTCTGATTAGTATATTTATGAATGGATCCTTGATATCTAGTAATAGTAGTTCATTAAGTTTTAGCTAAAACCTGTTATATATTAAAAATCATAAACATGACTGATTTTAATTACTGATATTGTGTTAGCAAAATTTAATCAAACCACAATATGTACAAGTAAAAACTGTGTACAGGTGATTCTCATACATGCTTCCACTGTCCATGTTCTTGCATATCTGCAGTATTATTTCAGTATCATGAGCATCAATATCCTATTCATGGTCACAATAGAAGCTGTCATGCAGGCCTATTGAGATTAGTGTGCAGTTTCACTGACTTGCACTACCAGGAGATACAAATTAAAACCTCTCAAGATGTATTATCTGGAAAATCCATGAGCATGTTACAAGTCTTTTATATAAGTAGCAATTTGTAGGAACATAGCCCCTGAGCATTACAAGTCACTTGTATAGAACTAGTTCACTAAATTGTATAATTATTAATTTACAGTTCTTGGTAGCTTCACCATTTAAACTGAAACATTCAGAGGAAAGCAGGCACCATGAGTTCTTCCCAGAACTTTCTTTATATATGTTTAAATAAATGACATTTTATTTGTGATGTGTGCAGTGCCATTGCAGTGGCAGCTGCTCACGGACAGAGGACGACGCTGCACAAGCTGCTGGCCCACCCCCACAACACTAACAACAAGGAGGTGCTGTCACTGGAGGAGATCTTGGCAGAGGGTGCCAGCAGCCAGCTGACTGCTGACCGCCGGGTTAACAGACTGCAGGTGAGCTACGGCACTTTGTTCCGTGAGATGGATGACCAGTTACACCCTATTCAGCTGTTAAAGAATTGAAGAAGGGCAAGCATCACTGTGATAGAATGATCATGGCTTATGACAAAAATTCATAAAAATGAGAAAGTTCATCAACACTATCAATTTGTTAATATTACATAAATTTAAAATTCTGCATAAATTGAGGCTTCTTGTCTAGCACCTTCACCATGAGTGATTCCAAACTAGCCATGATTCTTTTACAACTTTTAGCACAGACTGTACTTGCAGTTTTGTTTCCAAAGCTGTGTTTTGCTGCTGTCTGAATAACAGCATGACAACAGCAGACACTGTGTTAGGGGAACGGGGTTAACTTTGGAATATGATGTCACATCATTGACAGAGGAAACCACTTGCTGCCGATAACGAACACATTTAAATGATCTTCTCAGGCCAGTGGCTGAACCTGAAGTGACTAATGTTACTACACAGCATGTACTGGACGAGTGTTTCCTTGTTTCATTTTGTGTTATGTCACTAGGTTAGTGAATGGGTGTATAAAATTATTCTGCAGCTGTGCTCTGTGTTGCTTACATTAAAGATTGCTAGTTGTTGCCCTGATGCCAAGGTTTGCCATAATAATCTTTGCCCTAGGATGTCACTGAATCCTAATGACCATTTCATGGAATTGGGTAATCACGTTGTTTGTACCTTCCCATAATGGCTGAAGCTTAGGTGACTTTTTTCTTGTCTGGGTTGGGCAATGGAAACAGACTTGGTTTCCTTGCTGAAATCCTATGGAATTGGCATGATGTGGACTCATCAGTAGATGCCAACATTTCAGAGAAACTGTTACATTTTAGCCTGAAGATGGAGACAGTATATTTTTGTGAATGTTGGCATCTACCGTTGAATTTGTGCAGCATCCAAACTGAGAAGAACAACATCATCCTCCTCACTGCTGTGAAATCATTTAGTTGGTGAAGTTTCTATGTGAGTCGAAACAAGAGTGGTATGGTCTACTTTTTTCTTTGTCAGAGACAGAGTGAAAAGTAAGATACAGTTTTGAGTGCATTTATTCTTCAGAACCGACGTAAAGAATTATGCTTGTCTGGTATTTTGTTCAGGTAACATGTGCTTCCAACTCAGACTCAGGTGCATGCTTGATGAATCATGTTGGCAGTGACAGCCTACAGTTGCTAAAACTGAGTAAAGTGCAGATCAAGTCACTGCAAGAGGCGATGTACCACAGCACTGAGAACAACCACCTGGGTGAGTAGCTCCTTGCAGGACAAAGAGTTAGGTTAGGTTAGGTTAAGTTTGAATCTCACCTGGGGCATCTATGATTTGTATTTTATTCTTCAGCAACAATCACTCAACAACATTTGGGTAATTAATGATAGCTTCTTCTTAATGATTAGTGTTTCAGTCACCTTTGCAATGTTATGTATGATTATCTGATAGCTACAGCTGTGCAGCATTTTATTACCAGTAAAAACTGAGAATTGTTTCAGAACAGTTTATGTGCCAAAAGTTAAATGTTTTAGGATCACTGCATCCTTATTATAAACTGGTAACATGGAGCTACTTCAAGCACTTTCTAGCATGTAATATATGAGTTACAAGAATGAAGGTTGACTCTTTTGCTATTATCTGTGGTATTGATAAATGAACACAACACATTTTCATGAAAAATCCACAATTTGATGTTTCTTGCTCTGCACCACTTTCTACGAGCAGTACAGTTGTTCTTCATCACCTTTGGTTATTGTATTGTTACTAATAATTAGCCAACTGTTCGTACTGTGCCTCCAGATATCACACTGGACCTCCGTAACCTTGGAATACCATGGACACTTCACTGTTGGATGCATACCCTAGCTACTGCACATGATCAACAACTTGAGAATATAATCGACCAGTTGCTCCAGGACTTTCTGCAGGTGTGGCCAGATGACTACTCAGTGCAGTTCGTTGACGAGTGTTTGCCTTTACTGTTCAACATCTTTCGATTCAGTAAGGTACTGTCTGTCATAAATATGTGCCACTTTGGTTCTGAGAGCCTTATTTCAAGTTAATTATACCAGGGTTTCTTCACAGGAAAAACCTGTCTAACCACAACATTTTATTTTATTTAAGTAGCTCAAGGAAGAAGGATGTTGGTCTGTTTGTTTTAACTGCTAGGGAATAGACAAGTGGATAAAAAAAATAAATCCCTCTGATATTCGGCCAAGCATGTAGTAATGATTCTAGCACACATTCAGTAGGTGCCCAGTTTGAATTTTGACCATAGCGCAGACTATGCTGACTGAGGATTTTTGTGGTTCCCCTCAGTCACTCCAGGTGAATGAATGGGTAGGACTCCTTGGACAAGTGATCATCCTGTCGCAAGGCCTCTACCTATTTACAGGACAGCACAACACAGAAGGACACAGACAAACATCCATGCCTTGAGTGGGATTCAAACCCATGGTTCCAGTGTCCAAGCGCACAAGGCCCATGCTTCAAACTGTGCGGCCACTATGACCAGTGAAAATAAAGTGTGGATTTTATTTTTTAGGGGTGATGATGTAACTTCCTTTTCAGATATATTCTGTTAAATATTGTTTACAATGAGAAATGTGTGGTCTGTAGTTTTATCTATACATAAGATCAGTGTATTTCCCCTATTCAGAATGTTCAGAAAATTTAAAGTGCATAGTGCAAGAAGACAGCCAACTTAATATTGTGTGATTTTTTGACTTTGTTCGTTATTTAATCTTAAAAAGTTTCATGTCATGCCAGTCCTTTTTTACTTTGTACTTAAAACATTACCTCTAACAGTCAAGAGTTGAGAATTTTGTTTTGTTAGGTTAGGTTGTCATAGTCGCACAGTGTTTGGCCCAGCTGTTTCAGTACCATCAGTTGAGTTTCATCCCACTTAAGCCTAAATATGTGAATGGTTTTAAAACATACTTTGCTCAGTGACATTGTAATTTTTGATATTGTAGAATGAAGGAACAACACTGCTCCTTGCAGACATTTTCTCAACATGTTTTGGCTGGGAGCCAATCAAGAATGTCAGAGACACTTCATTCTCTGGAGGGACTCGGATTGATCCAAAATTTGTGAACAACCCAGAGCTGAGTGATGTGCAGTTTAGGGTGGAGGGGCGAGTCTTTTATGGACACAAGATTGTCCTGGTGACATGGTCACCCCGGTTCCGGGCAATGCTCAGCTCGAAGCTCTGTGATGGGAACCCACCCATCGTTCATATCAATGACATCCGCTATCACATCTTTCAGGTAAGTTAGGATGCTCTGAGATATTTGTACTTTGTTGTGGTTGGGGGGTGAGATACTGGGGTTGCGTTCACATTCAGTACTGTCATGAAGTGATGGGGTGAAGCTGGAATACATCTGACATAGTCTTTGACTTTTGGTGAATTAAATTACTAAAATGTGTCATATGTCAAGGTGCAGCAGTCAAATGATGTACAAGCAGGGTTCATTACAGTTCATAATTCAGAGCAGTGTGACTTCTGATAATGGAGAACATGTTTGTCAGAATGTTCAGTGTATCCTTATCCCCTGATTTGCATTTATTTAAACATGTGGGCCCTCCACTAGTTTCACTCATTTTATTCCTTTAATTTTAAAAAGTGTATGTATTATTCACACTGGACTGAAACATGATAATTCAAAGTCTGTAATGAGATCAGGGGAGGATTCTGCTCAAGGTACTAATTTGAAGTCATCACAGGAACACTTTTGGCATTACAATATCTTTTTGAAATATTAGTTTTCATACTTGTTCTGACATTGAACTCAAACATGATTTCCCAAATGTCTGAATCATAAATTATCTGAGAGGTTTAAACTGGTAAAGCAAAGGCCATAATTGAGAATACTCTATTCCAGTGGTAATAGTTATGTTAACAGATGGTATTGCAGTGTACCTATTGGAAAGTGTTATGTACCACTGATTTGAGCCACATGTAAGTGTATGCAGTGTGGAGTACTATACGTAAATGCATGATGCTATAAACTACAGACAAGAACATGCACATAGTTGTAAGCATATGCTATGTACTGCACATAACTTTCTTGTCTGACTGCATGGCAGTCAGTATTTATCAGCTAGATCAGGGTTCTTAAACTGTGGGGCATGCCCCATAGCGGGGAAATGAAAGCTTAATTTTGGGAAGTGAAAACATGAAAAATATCTGTGTGCCATCATGTAATGAATATTTCATTTGAAAGACTGTGATACCTTTAATTTTTTTGAACCTTTACTTTGAATGTGACAGTTTTATTTGTGTCAGTCTCACCGCCGTGAAAATTTCAAATCCTACAAAAATGTATGATATATGTAAAGCAAAAATCTGTTTTGTTACAGTTGGTAATGCAGTACCTCTACAATGGGGGCTGTGAAACACTGCAGGTGGAGCAGACAGACATGCTGGAGCTAATGGCTGCTGCCAATTTCTTTCAGTTGAATGGTTTACTGCGTTACTGTGAAGCTCAGTGCTCGAGCATGGTTGACCTTGATAACATTGTCTCCATGTACATACATGCCAAGGTACTGTAAGGGAGATTTTTCTGTGAGTCAGTTTTTGAGCAAATAGCACATTTGGTCTTGTGTCGTTAATAAATTTAGTCCCATGTTAACTGCGTGCTGCTACATAAAATGAGCTTGTACACCCAGAAATTCCAACTAAGGGGCATGTGTATTGGTATCACTATTTTCTGCAGGTATACAATGCTGGGGAGTTGCTTGAGTACTGCCAGGGATTCTTGCTACAGAATATGGTAGCCCTGCTCACATACGATGATTCCGTCAAGCGGCTGCTCTTTGGGAAAAAGCTTCACAGTCATGATGTGCTGGCAGGCCTGCTTCTGACACTGCAGGCTCGCATCAGGGCCCGAAATGTGGCCCCCACTGTCCGTTCCAACTCCAAGCCTAAGTGAAAAATGCCTCTGAGCATGTTTATCGACTGTTTCCAGTCTTGAGGCAGGGAAGTGTTAGGGTTTGTTCCTAGATCTGTATGCAAATTATTTATACGCATTTCCTTTCTGTGTAAAGTATAATCCAAAATAATGACTATACAATGAACAGTTAACATCAAGCAGTTTAATGAATTTTACAATAAATTACTTTGCTCATCAAACAGTGCCAAGGAATGGTGGATCCAGTAAAACCTGCTGCAAAGTCTTCGTAAATAGGGATTGTATGAATTGTCAGAATGCTTCAAGAAGTGTTGTTTAGAAGTAGATGTTTTACAAAAACAGACAGAATGGCCAAATACATGAAGATGTTCTTCAGAAGCAGAGGAAAGGCATAAAATATGGTGCTGATGGATTTTAGTTGGTAAGTTACATTGAGCTGCATGAAATATAGTACTTTATGTTTGAACCTAATTTTCCAAACATTTTCTTTCTCCACTTTTGGCAGTAATTTGTATACAAAATATTGTCAAGTTTTGATGAAATGTTCAGAACTCAAAAAATGTGTAAAATACAGATATACTGGAACAATGCATGATAAAACATCTGAAAGCTTTTTGTGGGAAATTTGATTATTTTTATGATCGAATGTAATTAATTTATTTGGTTACATTGAAATAAATTTGATATGATTTCCACAGATGTTAGGAACATGGAAAAGTTGTTATTTCCCTAAGCATTTATAACAGATCAGCCCTACTGATATTATGGATTGCATTTCTCAGTGGAAACTAGCCCCAACAAACAGGCATGGTGGTGCCAATTAACCTACTGAAACCTACTATTAAAGTGAATAAAAGCAGCATGGGGTATTGTTTTCAGATGGCTTAGTCCAGTCATAATTAGGGAGGTGCCACCGTATGTGCTTTTCATTCAGAATGGCACTGACATTAAATGGTACAACCTTACATTTTTGATAAGACTCCCTGGAAGTCTGTCATGGAAGTACCAGAGAATTTCATAGTGAGCCTCCTATGGCATTGTTCATCAAACACAACCACCCACAACTATAGCAATCTCCAAACCCCATCACCTTCCCATAAGCCATGAGTGACATTTTCAGATCCCACTGCATTTTCCCCAAAGTGGACGAGAGTCTCAACCCACACATAGCCAGAGCAAGAATTTGGAGTACATGAAATCCAACATCCCACCCTGTTTTGACCCCTGCAGGCGACTGGTTCCAGACTGCAGGGACACTGAAACCAAGAGTAAGGGTGCCAACCTGGGCAGTTACATATTTTCTGGAACATACAGAAATATTGAATGAAAAAAAAAAAAGTTTATAGAGTACAGGGATAAAACTACCAAAAAGACAAAATTACTAAACCCATTTTTCCGAAGTTTTATAGATTATCTAATTAAATAACAGAGAGGACTATTACTGAATATAAAAATCATGCATACAAGACTTATTCATAAAGTACAAATGTGGATGATTATAGTAATGATTTCTGTGCATGCAGCTAAATTTTATCAATAATTATATGACTAATTAAGATAACTAGACAAATATCCAGCTTTGAAATCTTTCAATTAACATGCATAAGGAGCAGAAAACTTAGCTGCATGATATTGCTGAAGAAGGCTTGGAAGCTGTCATATATGGGAGGTTTGCTGCTTGAAGCATGAAACCAACCTGTAACATGGCTTTATAAAATTTTATAAGGTAATGTATTCATAGCAACTTGTAATGTTTTTGGTTGCACTGCCATATTATAATTAAAGTAGAAAAGTGTCCCGCTACATGCCTATGCAGGCACTTGGGGAGAGCGGAGGTATAGCTCCTACTCTTTCTTGACCTTGGCATCGGATGGGGGCGAGTGGTCAGCATCACACCCCACCCATGCTTTACCCCCGGGAAAGGACCCCTGTACCCATTGGACAGGAGGCTGGGTGGGCCCCAGAGCCGGTCTGGACGCAGAGGCTAGAGGAAAAATCCTCTGCCCCAGTTGGGGATCGTACCCTGATTGCCCAGCCCATAGCTAGTCACTATACTGACTGAGCTATCCCGGCTCATGCCATATTATAATTACTTACTGAAATGAGACCATTTAACTAAAGGAAATGCAGAAACACAAAAATACATGTAATTCATGCAGGTACCTGCTAACTACAAGTTGGACATTTAAAACTTGTATACTCCTAAGATAAATACTGCAGGAATTATAGAGTGTCTTTGAAGGGTTAATTATGAAAATGTGTAGATGAATTAAATGATCATGAAGCAAAAGAAGATAATGACTGACACAAGTTTGTAAAATCCTTTGACTGTATTACTGGAACATAAAGAACTGGATTCAAAATATTGGAAGAAAATAACTGTTAAAAAACAGTGTCAAGGTCTAGATAATGTAAGTGTGGAACAATTTAAATATGAATGCAAGTTAATAAAAAAAGGTTACTCACATTATTCATCAAAATACAGGAAGTTAATCAATACCAACATCGGGAAGTAGGACTGAATACACAAAAATAAATGTGGAAACTGCACGGGCATCGCTTTATTATCCGCATCATTCAAACTGTACACAAATGTGTTGAAGAACGAACTTAAGCAATATGTAGAAGGCTACCTCAATGAAGAACAGTGCAGTTATAGGGAAGGAAGAGTTACAGAATTTACACTCCAACAATTGGAGAATAATGACAAAAGAAAACTACCAATGTATTTGCTGTTCACTGACTTTGATAGTCTGAAGATTGGTACTGGCTCTGACAGTGTGGTGTGGTCTGGGCTCTAAGGGGTGCACAATGAACCCAACATGGATTGTATCCCCTAGTAAAATACCAATACCAATTACAGTTTGAATCAATATATATTTTGGTCAATACCAGAAAACTGTAATATGCAAACCCAGCTCACAGAAGCAATGAGGATGAACACAAATATTTTCTTATGATATATTTAACAAAGATAAAAACAACAATGCGGGTTATTGACACTGTTATTTAATAAGTTTGTACAAGAATTGAAGAACATGATTGGTGAGATCCAGCTACTGAGTAGATAAACATTAAATGCAATCTTATATGCATATGATCAGGTTTTGAATACAAATCAGAAGATGAATTATACATATCAACACATCACTCTGTCTTTTGGATTGTTGCACTGTGTAGTATGGTAGAAGTATACCAACACTTCAGAGGTGCTTGATGCTTCCATCAGGGTCGTCAGTAAGCCACATGTGAGGAAATACAATTCCTCATGTGTGGCTTACCTTATTGTCATGCATGGATACTGTCAGCACAATGGAATAAAATGTTTAGTTATGGTACTGAACGTTCACACTACATGTTTTGGCAAATTTGGCATCATGTGTGTAGATATGTTGAATGTCATTAACACGTACTAAAAATTAATAATTTACATGGTTGGTAAGCTGGTATGAATCCATACTTACAGACATTAAAATGAAGTATGAGATATTAAAATGGTTAAGAATAATAGAAAATTGGGTGTGGTGAATACAAAATTTGGATTATTCTTGTCAGAGTATGATGACGAGGCTTCACTGGTGAGATGATGTACAGCTTGAAGACTAGGGATGTAAATGCCATCCTTAACTTCTGTTATATGGCTTCAGATGGATATCAAGGAATGGCCAAATGTTATGCAATTCTTTTTTTCTTTAGCCTAAGACAGGAATATGATTGAATTAGGATAGAATGGGGGTGCTGGGTATAGAATTAAATGGGATGATGGGTATGACGCTTGTGGTTGAGATGGCCCCACGAAATGAAGGCAAGTGAATCAGAGCGACCGAGAGGGTAAACGATGCAGGGTGGAGTGTAATGGCTGTTGGGCTTAACTGAGTATATAAAAAATATGCATACAAAATATTCTATTTACTTCCAAAAGAGAGTTTACCTGGAACATTTTCATTTATTATAAAAATATTCCAGGCACACACCCCCTGTTCCTCTCTTCACTGGCCTTCATTCTTACTTCACCACAAACAGTTTGTAAGTACTCTTGTATGTAATATATTTGTTTCAATTACAGAATCAATTTACATCCATTTTCATACCAACTTGTACAGATGTACATGCAACAAAAGGAGATCTACAAGGACTGCATTAATATCAAATAATCACTGTATTTTAACTCCCACATAAATATATCCTACAACGATCTGAATAGGGCAGATAAATATAATCTTTGCTTAGTTACCTAGTATTTAATGTAACTTTATCTTAGATAAGAAAGAAATATTGTAACAAAATATTTTAAAAGTTTTGTATTTTAACCATAGACTTAATGTACAGCACAAATTTATTTGTTTTTGTATTTTTTATAATTTAAAAACTAGCAGATCATACTCATAAAACCCTTATGTGCCTCCTGAAGATGGCCTATGTTGGTCCGAAACATGTAGTGGTATTGTTAAAAATAATAATATACTAAATAAACCTGTATAGACAGACATACATTATTTACATTATTCACTTATTACAGCTATTACACAGAAGGATGCCTTCAATTAAGATTAACTAATAATGTTACATTTACGGTTTATACAAAGGTCACTGCATTTTTGTCAAAAAAGTGACATATAGCATGTCTGTAATGATACTGGAGATTGTAAATTTTGCAATTACAAAGTGCACTAGAATTATCTAATATTTATTTGATCTTGTAAATTTTCCTTTATCAGCTGTGCAAGAAGGCCTATGTGCAGTCCAGGTGGCCAGCCTCCTACTGGGGGGAAAAGCAGCTGGGAGCTTATCTCCATGTCCCTCGCAAGTACAGGGGCAACTTTACCACACAGAACAAAATTCTTAAGCTTGAGCTGTTGTCCTGAAGTCTGTTTGCAGTGCTCAGCCAATAAAGATTACATACATGTAAGTCGGCATTGTGTCATGGACACGTTACTTAATACTCATATTTGAAAAAAATTATTTTGGGGGATCTGATGCAAATCAAGGAACTGAAAATGGTAGGAATAAGCCATGTCAAAAATCTAACTGGAACACAATCAATCACTGCAACTCTTAATGCCAGCCAACATTTGTAGCGGTATCAAATGGGCAAGAATTTCGGCTTGCCAGGCTTATAAGCAAGGTATAAAGAAAGTATCAGAATAAGCTTTGTTCACCGCCTGCTATAAAGGCAATGAAATGGTATGAATGAACTTCTATCACATCATGAACTGATTCCATACAAAATTAACATGAAGATGATAAGCCCACTCTGGTGATCTGCTACCTCTTGAGCTGTGTGACGACAATTACTACAGTCAGAATTATTCCAATGACCAGAGCTACAGCTACCAGGAAGCACATCTTCTTGCGGTGTGCCATCTAGAACAGAAATGTTCATGAGCCAAGTACTCCAGCTGTAGAGTATTAAAGCTAGAACTTTATTTCATAATTGAAGATTTTATCATATTTGGCCAGAACAAAACTACTGCAGCTGCTCTTAGTGACAGATCCCATAACAATGTGACTGCTCAAGAGGACAGTCTGAATGATTAACATGTGTGCAATGTGCCACATAACTTTCAGTAATCTGTGTAATATATCTTGTTTTCTTTTTGCACAGCAAATGAACCTACCTACACCCTCCCTCAGATAACACTTTGAAGTTATACTGTTTGAGCTTGCTCGAACAAGTGTTCATTTCTCTGGTTGTTTATAGTAACTAAACATTTTTTCAGGAATAATGCATTCAACACTTGTGGTAGATTTTTAAGTGGTATGGATTTCTTTTCCCGCTCATCTTCATGTGATCAGGGTGGCGGGATCACATGAATAAATACATTAATTTACAGTTTCCCCCAGAACATCTACCTGGTATTCAGATGCTTTCTGTAGCTCCTGCTGACCAAGTTCTACATTCCCATGGACATTCTCAATGTTGTTCTCGATGGAATCTGCAACAAAGACAATCTCAGTAGCTGCCAGTGTGCGACTGCTTCGCTCTGTGGCAAGGCAACATAATATATTTAGCAACTCTAGTGGTCTGGGTGTACATTGATGGGACTTTTATTCCATACCCTTCTTACTGATCCCTGACAAAGGTACAATTGTGTGAACAGGAATACCAGGCTTTCCTTATGGTTTAGAGTTTGTTTTGAGCTATAGATTATCATCATCCTACCATGACAGTAGTGAGTCCACAATAAGAGTTTATTTATCTTATGAATAAAATTTGATCAGACTGGTGATGTCTCCACTTACTAATAGTGTCACCCTGCTCATACACCATGGCTCCTAGCTCCCTCATGATCTGATTTACATCCAGAATATCTGCCTCAATCTGGTGTATCCTGTGCTCCCGCTCCAACAGTATCTCATGTTCAAACTCCACTTCCCTCTGCAGACTCTTCTGGGTCGCAATTTGCTCTGCCTCTTCAATGAGCTTCTCTTGATCATCGTCATTGTATTCACTTGTTGTGGGCTGTGTCTGCTTCGAGAGCAGACAAATTTTCATCTTTTCTGCAACTTGCTAAAAAAGAACTTCATTGTAACTAAGCCTGCAGACTCTTCATTTTTTCTATAATTTTCATCCTGTGATTTGCTTTAAGGTATAAGGAAATTATGTGCAGATGCTTATAAATGCTGGAGTGGAAAGTCAAATTTTATTTTAATATTTAAATGTGTTAAAGATTAAATCCAACATAAGAAAGGAATGTAACAATGCTTTCAGTATCTACACAATGTAGCATCAGATGAACTGGAAAGGGTATGTAAGGAAGCGGTCATGGAATTTGCCTGGATGAACTGAGGAAAACCACAAAACGATGCCAGGATAGTCAGTCTCCAAGCTGAGATTTGAACCTGAGACATCCTGAATATAAAGTAGGAGAGGGCAGGGAAATTCTCAAGAATGATTTAATTGTAATGAATTGAAGATCAATTTATGCCAATCAAAATAAAAACAAAGAATTGAAACATAAATTATGATAGGGCAGAAAGTGTAGGAGACGCATTCACTGTTTATATAGTGATGTAGAATTATTCCCTGAAGGTAACTGATGGCTGTATTAATGTAAATGATTGTGTAATGTATAGATGATAATCACAATTTGTAATTAATGATGTTACTTTTATGTCGGTACTACCTCACAATATAAAAACAGGAAAAATATCATCAAACTGCTATCATACACAGTAGTAAAGATGGGAAATTAATGACCTTAATTTCATATCACATTAAAGAGTGAACAATATCATAATGACATCCAACAACTGTTATGTATTTTCTCACAGACTGTGTTTATGGATGCCACTGTGATAAAATAATCAAACATTAATAACAGACCACAATTATTTCAAGTAAGAATGAACAGCAATAGCTATCCTTTCAGGAGAAAATACCTAAGTATTTAAAGAAAGGTAGCTACCTTCTGAAGCCTACTGTAGCACTGTACTGCATCTTTGAAGTCAGTTGTGAGTTTCTCAGCTTGAAGTTTCTGGTGTTTGTCACCCTTTCTAACAACTACAGTCAACCGTTGAAGATCTTTTGCTGTCTGAGACACAATCTGGTTGCAACTCAGCTGTGTTACATGACTAAATAAATGAAATAATACAGTTATTAGATTGTGTAACTCTGACAGTAACTGAGTATACAATTCTGTGTAAAAGTTTTACTTATGTAAACAAGTACAACAAATCTTACACTTTGTCTCTCAATCCTTGGTTGTCTTTTTCTGTTCCTACACTTCTTAGTGCTTGTTCCAAATTCTTCCAGCTTCTAATTACGGTGTTTATATTTGTTGTAATGTTTTCACTTAAATTATATAGTTCTGTTGGACTAAACTGCAGACCAGCAAACCCAACATTTGGGACACTGCTGTCCATGGTGCCGTAATTCTTTTGTGGTTCAAAGCGTGACATTTTCGTCAGACCTATCAAGGGGAAACGTAAGCGGTTAGAAACTGTTTCTTTCTTTTTATTAGTAACAGCACTAATAAATTACACCTACTCTTTTATCAGTTTAATCAGTGTCGTCAATCGTTGATACAATTTAATGCTTTCACATTCTAATATAAAATGAACGCAAAGACTTCCAAACCAACTGATATGTCGTATACGGAAATGTGACAATGCATAAAAAGACAAGTTTTTAACACTAATGACTCAACATCATGTTTCTACCCTTTTAACATGCCTCAGCCATTTAATATGAGAAGCTTTTATCTGCCATCTGACGGTAGTTTATTTTCCTATTACTTCTGCGAATTTGACTAAGTGCTCTTCCGTTCGAGATAATGTTAAAACAGAAAAATATTGAAATAATAATAACATTACGTCCCTTCTCTTTTATAAAGTTATAGATCAAGAATATATTTGTATGTTAAGATTGTTTGTGTTTGTTTGCAATTAACATCTCTGAACATTTGAATACACTAAATTTATATTTTGACTTTAATAGGAGCACTTCCGGAACAAGCCCAGTTGTGATAGCTTGCACGAGATCTTTCGTTGGTGGGTGAGTCTGTTGCACTCTTGTTATTAATGCATTTTTGTAAGCTGTGTTTTATTTATAGGTTTGTTTTGATGTTGAGTTGCATTAATCGTTTATGAATGAACTTTTTTTTAGTAATTGTTAGCCTTAGACCTTAATACTCAGTGATATTTTATTAATGTCTCGAACCCCATTGCTGCTTCGTATATGTGCAGTTCAGTGATTGTCGTGAAAGTAATTGAAATAATGATGAATTTAAGTTATTAGGGAACGTAATAATTATATGAATACTCTGAATAGTAGCTGCTGACTTCACAAAATTAAAGGGAATGTTCCTTTGTTGCAGCCATTGTCTCTCAGTACTGGAGGTCTTGCATCGTTCTCGCTTAATCGTGTTGTGTTGAATAAAATGGAATAAAACCTTTTGTCGAAGTTGAGTGGACTGTAGAAACATTTGCTAGAAAATGTATTTAAATTTAACATTTATGTGGCGAGGACCATATGCGGGTTCACCCAATCCAAAATCAAGTAATACCGAAATATTACCGTTTTTGGAAAGTGAAAGTAGAAGGAGCATTTTTATGGCGATTCATGATTGAAATTACTAAGCTTTAAAAATTTCTTCTGTAATGTTGCATTAGTCACGGTATTTTCAGCAGTAGGTATTAGTAAAAGTCGTGTGTGGGCATATTAGACAAGAATCAAAATCAGGGGGAAAACCTGTTCCTATAACTGTTAACCGAAATGTTGAAAGTTATAGATTATTATAGTCAATTTCGTTACAGCTAAACAGTTTTGGCCTTGGTCCTTACTGCGTTGAGATCTCCAGATTACAAACATGGATTTTATGCTTTTTGCAGGTGTTAAGAACTTGTGCTGAATGATCTTGCTTTCTGTTACTATGAGTATTTTAACTGTTTTGATCTTGAAATACATGTAGATGCATCGAATGAACCCTAGTAAGGACGATATAGAACTAATCAGCAAATACCTACAAATGTATTATGGTTTTTTAAAGTAAAAAAAATCTATCCCACTATATGCCATGTAGGTGCATGGGGGAGATGGGGTATAGCTCCTACTCATTCTTAACCTCAGAATTAGATAGGGGTGAGTGGTCATTGTCACACCCTGGCCACGCTTTACCCCTGGGAAAGGACCACTGTGTTTATTGGATAGGAGGCTGGGTGGGCCCGAGAGCTGGTCTGGATACAGAGGCTAGAGGAAAAATCCTCTGCCTTTGCTGGGGATTGAACCCTGGTTGCCCAGTCTTTAGCCAGTCACTGTACTGACTGTGCTACCATCTAAAAATTCATTGTAGTTACAGAACATATCTCCAGAACAAAATTCAGCGATTCCTCACAATCTATATTTTTCCCAAAGGTGACTGACTTGTTGAGTATGGTCTGTAGTCTGGTAGATACTGGCCAACGTGTCGGGAGCTTACTGCTTTGATCTTGTGGCTCAATATTAATATAATAAGATCCGCTGAAACGTGTCAGTTTCTACCACACTGTACAGTGCTACATTCTGGATGTCAGCCATTTCATACTCACTGTTGCGAAGACCTGACGTGTTGCATGGGTTTCCCAATCACAGAACTAAGTATCATTGGTCTGTGGGATGCGCATATATCTAAGGATGTAGTCAAGTCTGGCTTTCTTCTTTTGCTAGTATTCCGGGAAATGTGGATCATCAAAACGTGTAATGAAATGAATTAATGTTTGATGTGACTCATCCACAGTAACTGATGATAACCTTGCAGATTCGTTGGGCTTGGGCTGTTGCCCGCAGCAAACACTGAAGTAGCCACATAGTTACGTGATCAGCTCCCATTTTTAACAGCTGTTGATGGTTCATATATGCTGCTCCCTTCTATTGGCAGTAAAGCCTTTGTGTTTGCCTAACAGTCTGATTTCATGCCATAAACCAGGAACCTCCAACATATGAGGCCAGAGTTTATTCCACATTAGTTATATGTAGATAGGGTCTTCCCAAAAAGAAAATGATAATGAATAATAATCTGTAATGTTCTATGGTTGTAAGCAAAACAATATTTTGACTGTCTTGATGGTATGTCAGTCTGGGGTTTAGTCCATCAATAACCTGTGAGCTGATTTGAGTTTTATTGGTGGATGATAAATTGATTTGTTAAAATATTTCAGTAAAAAACAAGATTTGGAACATCAGAAGTCTGTGCAGTAGGAAAACAAGCTTCATGAAAATGCCTGGAACTCCTTGTTCAAGCCACTGTGAAATGAATTCTGCATGAATTTTTGAATTAAAGTGCATGTTTCACAAAAAATACATTTGCTGCTCCTATGCTTTTCTGAAGTGAAGTCAAAATCCACATTTGTCCACAACATGAATATAATGGGGAAGTAGGGTTTGTCTCTCAGCCACCATTAAACTGATTAATGAATTGTGAGGTATTCTGTAACACATTCAAGTAAAATTTTGTTGTAAGAAAAATGGGGACATACTCTCGTGTTTGAGGTGAACTATCAGTTTATTCGAAGGTGGCGATTAAAATGCCTTGACGGAAGGATTCTAAGTATTTCATGTAGGGTCCGCGATGTTTTATAAGGTACGCGTATATTGCTTGCGGGCGTTTAAGGAATCATGGTCACCGTGTGTTCAATTCTGGTCGTACGAGAATCTTTTGTTGTCGTGGTGTTTTGAATTGTGTCGTTATGTGAGTGAATTTGTGGGGTGTTAACAATGTTAAGACGTAATCGCTTTAAAGTAAAGTAAAAGCTGTACGTTCCTCCAAAACTGAACGTTTCTTAGAAACTGGTTCCTATTTTGTTCTTCCACATTTGGGTGTCGTTTCCCAATCCTGTGCAAATTCTTGCATACCGCGGTATCTTAAAATGGCGGCGACCGTTTTTTCCTCCAGAATTCCTAGATTGATGGCCTGGGGAAGCTATCCGTTGCTGAGATAGTCAAGAAATTCTCCATGCTGAAGTGCCCACTTTCTGTTGAAACCGAATTTTAATTTGGTCGCGGTGGTTTGTGTAATGACATGAAAGTCACCA